ACCTTATATTAATATAGTCAGTCGTGAACTGAGGTGGGCCGGTCTGCTTGAAACTCCAGGGCTGAAAAGGAGTCCCACTCCAGCCCTGCTACATGTGATGTAGATGAATAGTTTAGACGTTTTGGTAAACTGTAAACTTGTTTTAGTAAAGCTTGTAGCAAACGCTCTGTCGTTAAATTGACCTTTTCTGTGAGGCAAAACAAAGACAACATGGTTATAGCCTGATTTATTGACTAGTCTAACATATCAAAACAAACGTACAAAACATAACAACAAAAACATATAAAAGAAGCAAGCGAGCAAATAAAGAGTTTAGATAAAAGAATGGCAAATCTAGTTCAGTTCCACACAACTGTTAAAGACTCCTAAACCCTTCTGCTCCAATGTCTGGGAGAAAATGGGTTTTAACTATGGGTCAAGTCACACCTATTTTCTACTGAGTGACCAGTGGTTTCAGGGCAAGGATTTGAGCGTTTGACCGTTGATATGCATAATGAGGGTCGTCCCTGAGCATACAGCTGGACCTTACCTCTGAGCATTAAAGAATGCAAGCTGTAAAAGTTATTGTCATATGGTTGTAAAATAGCAGGAGAAACGTAATGCTACTAAACACGACACTCTAAACGCACATCAGATAGCATCTAGGCATTTCTATACTATATAAGATCAAAAGGGACTTCATTAACGCATGCATATACTATTTTAATTACTTTAGCTTTAGGGCAGAGCATATAGATTACAAACACACATTACATTTCTTTTGGAGTGAGTTTTTGAGTTCTAATCGTTCTTTCAGTTGTGTGTGTCTTTGGGTGGGTGTGTGTGTGTGTGTGGGGTGTTGGAACAGTTGCAGGTTTTCCTTTGGAATGTCTTGGCTTGCAAAGATGCACCAAAGGGACACAAGTTTCTCCCTTCTCCCCATCTGTAATATAGATTAAACAGCAGCAATGGGTCCCCAGTTTCCCTTATGCATCCCAGGTTAAACGAGGTGTCATGCACAGCGACCTTTGTCTCTAGACTTTCTGGAGCCTTTAATCATGAATCTCTCACCGATAAGAAATATGGTATTTAGGGGTAATCCAGTTCTTCAACTGTGACCCATATGCAACAGTAGCATGTGCAAAAGTGTATGCCGACGGTTCCTTGTGGTTGTACTATTTCAAGTAGAAATTTGAAGTGTAGAACCCTTTATTTAAAATTATCGATAGCCCCACATGTAATTTGCGCACACAGAAATCCTTTAAGGCCATAATTTATTCATTTGCTTGTGTAAATGTGTTTACATTAATTGTAGTAATTTTATTGAATAATATTGAATGTTTATGATTCATCTACAACACAGTGACTAATGTAAAGTTTTCTGTCTCTCAGTAGATATATTATGAGAATAAGATTGTTTACCAAAGAAGTGGTTGTACTTGGATTTTGATTGTAAATCTTAAATGTTGTCATTTTAATTATGTTACAGTTTCAGCTACTTTTCTGTCAAATCATTCTTCATAAATCTGCAGCCTTTGTACAAAATTCTGCACAGAAATAGCAAAAACATGTACACAATGTGGTAAATGGTTACTGTATCAGTCAAACATTGAACATTTGTGCATCCCTAATAAACACACACACACACACACACACACACACACATATCTGTGTAGCAGAATTAGACACGGTGTGCAGGAGTGACTGAGTGTTGTTCTTTTGTGTTGTCTTGTAGTGAGTTTTCCGGCTGGTCATCAGCACAGAGACACAGACTGGAGAGAGGTAAGACACACACACACACACACACACACACACACACATCTCACTCATATTCATTTTACTAATGCTCTGTAAAGGCTGGTTAAATGACCCCCCCCCCCCCCCTCACAGATTTTACAGTGGCTATGACGGTTTTTTCAATACATTTATTATGTCTCTTAAACTCTTAACGCAGCAACACACCTAAAACACACAATTGGCAAAACGGTTAACTTCATGCTCAAAAACACACATTGTAAACTAAACCGCAAAGCTAATGTTGAAAATACAGTAATACAGCATGTCTGACGAAACACTGCAAACATGTTTCAAAATCAAATCACTATTCAAAACACCAACACATGCTCTCCTCCAACAGGAACATTTAGTCAATCAGAACACACTGATGATAAAACACACTCATCAGCTGCAGTATTGTATGTGTCAGCTCTGCTCTTATATTTGAAGCCTCTCTACAGTTTTGTGTTGTTGGCTTTAGTAAACGCAGGCATTTTGTTTCTTTTGTTGGAGAAATTCTATACAATAAATGAGCGACCGTCTCAGAGTAGCTTTATACAATGTACAGCTTATGTAAAAAAATACATACAGACACAGAATTGCTGCAGTACAGACTTTATTTGCAAAAGGACACCACTGCAAGATAATCACATCAGAAAAGCAATGCAATTATAGTGAAAAAACAAAACAAAAACAAAGTTATGTTTCATTCTGCCCGGTCTTCTGCATTTGGCCATGTTTTGCATCGTGGGAAGAATCCTTTGGCATGCTTTATCCAATTAGCTGTTTCTCATTGGCAGTGGAATAAAATATAGGGAATGAATTAGCGTTTCAATGGCAATATTTACAACTGTTCACTTTGACAAGTTATGGTTAGAGCATGGTGTTATCGGCTCTGACATACTGCTTGGAAGCATTTGTAAATTTGACTGTAACATGACATAGTTTTGGTCTTGGTTGAGCTTGTTTGTAAAAGAAGTTCAAGCATTTTAAATTGGTGGTAAGTGGATGCATTTTGTATTAAAGCAACAAGAAATGTGTTAATTGTATGGGTCACGCAGATGAATGTGCTAACCGTGTTAAGAGTTTAGGAAACTTGTCACATCTATTGAAAAGACTGTCATAGCCATTGTAAAAAAACAAAAAATAATAATAATATTTTCTACAGGATGCTGTACAGTAACGTGTGCATATACATCAGAATGTTAAAAGATTAGTCAGAACCAAATACAAAACTGATCAACTAATCTATCGAAATATCTGAAGATCAGTGTGAACATTATTGCACATATATTTAGATATGAGGGGAAATCTAATGCATTTAAGAGAAAGGGAAAAAAAATCACCTACATTTCTTCCATTGTTTCTCTAGATTTTTTCCTATTGATTACAATTGTGTTTGATCTTTATATTCCTATAGATGTACAGTGACTAAAGTCTTATTTCATAGGCTAGAACTGTTTAATAAATCTGCTTCGCACCTAATATTATATATATCCGCTGAGAACTGGATAAAGATGTTTACTTTTAAAAGGGGGTGAAGTGATTTAATGCTGATCTATTATAATCATTTATGCAGTCTATTATGTTCATGTAGAACAGCAGCAGCTACAGATGAACATTGTATGCCATTAAATATTAAAGGGCTCCCATTTGACCTGTTTACAAGATGTAAGAAATCTAGTGTCATCAGATTCATTAAATTGCAGAATATGTCCATTTTGTGCTGAAAGCTGAGTGATTTGGCTGATTGAGTAGCCTGTGCTGACAAGCGTTGCATCATATGTGGCCTTTAATGTTGTTTGTCCTCCTCAGCTGTACAAGCAGAAGTACAGGCAGAGGAAGGAGGCGGCGCGGCGGGGAAGACACTGGTTTTATCCACCTCCCATCAGCCCTCTGATCCCTTTTCCATCCCCACCGGCACCGCTGCCACTCTACCCTCCTGGCATCATCGGTGGAGACTATGACCAGATGCCCGTCATCCTTCCTCGGCCACGCTTCCACCCCATTGGGCCACTCCCAGGAATGAGTGCTCCTGTAGGCCGGCGCAGTCTGAGGCCGGCAGGAAGTGGAGCAGCAGACGTGAGGAGAGCGTTTATCTGAGCACGCAGGCATTTGACTCTTATTTTTCTGCAATTTAACATTCCTGACGGATAAACGCAAGCAAACTGGAAAAATTGACTGACACTATTCTTTATGAAAGCGTCACATGTGTTGGAGAAATGAGTGGATTAAGTGGTGTGGTGACTGTAATGATTAATTTTGATTGATTGTATTTGATTGTTGCTCAAATCTGAATTGATAGTAAATAAAGTCAAGCCTGCTTCTCCTCATCACTGTTGCTCCATGTGCTTTTATTTTGAATATAAATGTATTTTATTGCAGTTGAAACTTTCATCAACAAAAAAAGATCTGTCTTATTTAGTTGCTATTGTTTTTATCTTTATTTGATGTGTTAGAGCTGCACAATATTGGAAAAAGCTGACATTGCGATATCAGATGATTTGACTAGCTGTAATTAGAAAGATTTCATAAAATAACCTCAACTGGCATGAAGTCTTCGTCTTTGCAGTGCATAAGCATCAATTATAAGAAATTACAAGCAATAATAAATTAATAAACAGCCTTATTGTTTTCTGGGAAGTCTAACAGTATTTAAGTACAGACATTAAATTGAAAGAAAAATGTGTTTAGCATTGTATAAGTGGAAAATATATATAAAATGTAATGTTTATCTTTTAATCTGTTATAGAAAATGTAATGCTTAGATGTGACTATTGCAGATACACACATTGTAATATCCATGCTCAAACAATATATTGTTCAGTGTGTGTGTATGTATATATATATATATATATATATATATATATATATATATATATATATATATATTTACAGACAAATAAATACACCCTATATATATATATATATTTATATATATATATATATATATATATATATATATATAATACACACACGTGTGTGTGTATATATATATATATATATATATATATATATATATATATATATATATATATATATATATATATATATATATATATATATATACATACATACATACACACACACACACACACATAGGGTGTGTATTTATTTGTTCATGTGATGTATCTTACTGTAATTAGTTAAAATTAGATCAAATGATTTAATATTTTGTCATTCTCAACCATTAAGTACAATTCTAATGGCAAAAAAAGGAATAATGATTTAATGAACAACAGTAATGTACTTTAGATGTCTTCATATTTATTAATGTATTCATATTATACTTGTAATAATTGTAATGATCATTTACCCCAAAAACAAATCTTTATTATTGTAAAATCTTTATTCTGACAATACAAACAGGGTGTATTTTTTTGATTGCTTGGTGATGATGTCATACTTTACAATAAGGTGTCATTAGTTATTGTATTTACTAACATGAAGTAATTATAAACAATACTTGTATTACATTTAATAACGAACATTTACAATATGAACATCCAAATGCATGCTTGTTAACATTATTTATTGCACTAACAAATGAAGAAATACTGTAGTGTACTTTTCGTCCTTCATGTTAGTAAATGCAAGAACTGTAATGTGATGTGGTGATGGTTGAAGTTGTCAGTGCATGCAGTGGTCAGTGTTGCAGCACAGGTTTGTGTTTCTCCAGGAAGGTGTGGATGGTTCCATGGTTGGCATCATCTCTTGACAGGTCTGGGATCTTATCAATGGTGTTGCACAGTCTGTAGAGGCGTCGAGATGGGCTTCTGCAGGTGGAAATAGAGAACAGAGAAAATTGAGTCAGAATTATTTGCCCTCCTGTTAAATTGTAATTGTTGGATATATTTCCACAGTATTTTTGTTTTTCTACACATTTGTAAATGTAAGTTGTAAAAAGTATCTGTGATAACTGATTTCTTGCATATTTGCCATGATAGCACATAAGGAGATCATTTTAAAGATAGCACTATTCAGCTTACAGTGACAACGAAAGGCTTTAGGTTAAGGGGAATATCAGTGGTTTGCTCTGTAGCCAATGTGAAACTGTAATTTTGACCTAAAATGCTTGTTTTGTAGCTAAAGAAAAATAAAGGAAATAGTCTGGAAAAATCCTTTACCTGCTAAATGTGAATTGTGAAATATTTGAAGAAGAAATATACACAAGGGCAACTAATTCTGACTTGAAGTGTATACATTGCTCAGCATACATGACAAGACCCCTTTTTGGGAAAAGCAAAAAAAAAGATATACTTGTACTTTTGACAAGAATATTTTAGTCACAATATATTTAGAAATAAAAAGATAACATTTACATTCATGGCAAATATAGAAGAGAAAAAGGTAAAAGTAGTCGAAAATGTCTGCCAAATTGTATATATTTTTAGTGACTCCTGATTGTTGAAGTTTTAGTTAAAGTTGTCATATTTTTCTTAACATATAAATGTTTTATAAATTGATGTTTTGTTAGATTGGTTCCAGATTTAGCATCAATATATGACTGTAAAACATAGAAATGATTAATTCGATGACATATTTGTAAAGGGGAGAAGTACTATATGCTGAGCACTATATATATATATACACACAATCATATACTATACCATATATATATATATATATAATTAATTCATTGACTTTTTACCGCTTTTCCGGGGCGGGTCGCGGGGGCAGCAGTCTCAGGAGTGAACCCCAGACTTCCTCTCCCCAGACACTTCCTCCAGCTCTTCCGGGATGATCCCGAGACGCTCCCAGACCAGCCGAGAGACAGAAGGTGCGTCCTAAATCGCAAACTTATGCAGTATTCTACGCCGCTTTGTAGTTTAAATAGTTTAAGTAGTGCGTTCTCACACACACAAACTCTCAAAAATAATAAGAGCACTTTAATTACCCGGATGATGCACTTATTCCACCGGTAAAATCCAGCGTGTTATGTTATGAATGAAAACAGTCGCGGCTTTGCTGACGTAGCGGAAGGGGCGGAGCTATCGGGCGCACATGTTGGATTACTTGATTTATTTTGGATTGTGAGAGCGATTATACCGCCTCCTGGTGGTGAATGCGGTTATAGTCAGGCCAGGTATAATGTGGTAGTTGGAGATGTATCCAGCCGCAGGCCCACACGTTTCAGGCGCACACAATCTATAGTTAATGACGGAATTCCTACTGAATTTGAGAAATATGGCGACTGAGACTGCCTGTGCTACGATTGCTTTTCATTAGACTCGATGGTTTAAATGGCTTACCATGTCAGTCAATAATTCATTTTTATATCGGAACAATCGTTTAACATCTGTGCCGTTTTGGAAGTCAAATTATGTAAAGAAAAAGAATGAGTTAACACTTATGAGTTTATGTACGTGTCCACAGACACAAAGAAGACATAATAGAGCGTGTAATTGTAAGATTAGTGTAATAAAGTAGTTCAGGATCGTAATGTTGTCATACTCGGGTAAAATTGTTTTGTAGTAAAACATAAAAAAGAAAGAATAATGTGTGACATTAAAATGAATTAGTATAGTTAATAATTACAAATTAATATAGTTGTAAACTGATAAAGTACTTTATCTTTTACTTATTCTTTAATTATGAAGAGTTAATTTGTTTGTATTATTATATTTGGTGCAACTATAATTGCCATAAATTAGTAGTACTTTATTGTTTAAAAACAGTATATGATGTACTATATAATGTACTATAAAACACAAGATAAAAACAATATAAGACTGACTATAAATGATTATAGTGTGAAATGTGGGAAATGGTTAATAAAAGTTATTAGAAAATGAAGCAAATAAATACTATTCAATTGCTGGAGTGACATATGAATGTAGTGTTATTGATTTATTAAATGTAAAAAGATTAGTATTGCATATAAAGATGTATTATAGCCTTTACATATTAACTTGCTATTATTTCCTTCATTATAATAAATCTGTTATATAAGTAAAATATGTCCAATTGTAATGGTTTATATATATATATATATATATATATATATATATATATATATATATATATATATATATATATATATATATATATATATATCTGAAAAATATTTTAGAAAGGGCAGGAAAGGAGTGTCTGCTATATACTGACTGTGTCAGATAAACGATGACTGATCATGTATGAGTAGGCCCACACGGAATCTGATTTTTAGGCCATCGTTGATTATTTATTGACTTGAATAAATTAATATTTATTTAGTACATTTTTTTGTAGTAATAGTATTGAGAAACATGAAAATATTAATATGATTTATTTACAATTTAGTTTGTAAAGTCATGTTTTCTGTGTTTTAGTATATTTTTATGAGAGACTTGCTTTGTTTACCAAATGAAGTAAAAGTAAAGTAAATGGGTTTGCATTTTAAACATGAAATGAAAGTTAAAAATGTATTACTTTAAATATATATATATATATATATATATATATATATATATATATATATATATATATATATATATATATATATATATAGATCTTCACAGCTATAGATATATATATATATATATATATAGATATATATTTATATATAGATATATAGGTTTTAGTTATGAAACTGGCAAAATCATTCAGCAAAAATCAGCAGATTTTGAACAGAATTGTGTGCAGAAATAGTCATAAATGTCAGCAGATTCTGTCTGGCCCTAATGATATTTGCTAGGAAAGTGTTATGTGTATTATATTGAATGGCATTGGGAAACAATGTTCCCCATTCGGCTGTTTCGATTACCATATTTGTGAAAGAGTATACAGTACTGTTTATTGTGTACAATATTTACTAACAATATCTAAAAATGTATTGATGGTGATGTCCGAGAAGATGTGAATAACATTAACATCCGTCGTAACCATATATGGTTTGCTTAGATTGTGTGTGGTTGAAATGTGTGTGGGTGTGCAGCTGGATATGATTGGGGTAGTTTGGTCAATTTTTTCAGTAATAAGTCAGACGTCATCAGGGAAACGGGTTAAATATCTGCTTAGTAGAATAGCCATTACTGTTCCATCTGGGATGACACTACATACATATGCTATGCTGGTGAGTGTGAGTGCATAGTGCATTAGTGTGTATTGGCATTTGGGACAGAGCTGTTGTCCTTCGTGTGTCCCAGGTCTGTAGGTAGGTGTGCAGGAGGCATCTGAAGCAGATACCTGTGGATGTGGAGGAGCAGCGGCTCTACTCTGAGCTCCTGCCAGGTGAAAGAGCTCCTCACACAGATATATATACAGTTGAAGTCAGAATTATTAGAAGTGAAAGATATTTACACAGTACAATGTTAAGCTGCTGAAAAAAAGATTTTTCCATATAATAGGTCAGATAATACAAAGTGCAGGAGAGCTGGAAAAGAAGCATATTTCAGTAAAAGTTGGAGTGTTTGAATACCTGTGCAAGTGTTAGATGGCTGGCATGACGTCTTTGTATGTGTTGTGGTTGAGGTGGTTGATGTTTGGCATCATGTCTTCACAGCTTTTGGATCACATCAGTGGTGCTGCACAATCTTTAAATGCATCCTCAGGTGGAAATAGAGAAGAAAGAAAAGAGTTATGGTAGCTGCTGTTTAGTGTATTTAAAATAGACCTGAATTATCAGTGCAAGAATGGAGTCTTATAAATGAAAATAGCAGTGAAAAAGACAACAGAAAGAAGGAAGTAAAGCATCAGAGTATTTTTAACTGAATGTGTGGTGCATTAAGACAGGAGGAGTGTGTCGTATAGGAGGCTGTGAACCCCAGTCATGCAGCACACTTGTGTATAATGCATACCATTGTGTGTATTGTTCAGTAAGAAGACTTGTGTTGAATGTAGTTTTGAAGTGAGGTTGTGTGTCTGAGGCTTGAACATTATCAGGATGGCTATTCCAGAGTTTAGGGTCCATAAATGAGAAGGCTTGAGCTGTTTTAGTGGACTTTGCTCTTCTGGCTAGTAGTAGAAAGGCTGACTTTTGAGATTTTATAGAGCGGGTTGGAAAGTAGAAAAAATAGTTATTTAGCATAATTCGTCATAGTTTTTGTTGTACACTTGAAATGTGGACTTAAACGATTGAAAGAGAGTATGTTTAATGTTAGTGAGTGTTTTTGTAGTGTTTTGTTTTGTGCCCAGTGATGAAGAGGGAAGTAGATGTTGTCGCTGACATGGATGGGAGAGCAGCTGAGGTGCACCCACAGCCCTGGAGGGCAGGGTGGAGGAGCAGGAGAGGGTGAGTTGAGTTGACCTTCAACATTTGCACATATGTCATTTTTGTAGGCCAGTTTGTAAGTCATAGTGTAGACAGACAGACAGACAGACAGACAGACAGACAGACAGACAGACAGACAGACAGACAGACAGACAGACAGACAGAGACAGACAGACAATCTTTTCATACTGAAGGCTGTTTGCTTGTACTTCTCATTTTCTGAGAAGTAGTTTGTGAAGAGGGATGACAGTAAGTCATCATGTAATGTAGGCTCTTAAACATGCAACTTTTGTAATAGTCATACAGACATAAGAAAGTATAAGTGTTAGTGTATCCTGGAGTGAACATACAGTCAGGTAATTAGTGCTTTAACTGCAGACAGTCAGCTTTAATTAGAGGATATTTACATGAAAAATCAGGTCAACACTTTAGTAATTACACCTTTCTGCATTTGTGCTTGTCAGTTGTTAGGGGAGCAAAAGTAATTGGACAGAATAATAATAGAAAGTGAAAGTAGTAATTTGTAATATTTGGTTGCATATCCTTTGCAGGAAATGAAGGCTGGTTTATACCTCTGCGTCAAGTGATGGGCGTGAGCCATGGTGCAAGCCTTGTGTGTAGCCGTGCATGCATACTTGTGTGTGCTGTTTGTGTTGCTCTGCAACAGCACTTGTGAAATGCTAGCTGGCTGTAGGTGTTTATGTTTCTCTGTGTGGAGTTCCTTTGCTGGTGTTTAGTTTTTTCAGAACGCTTCCTTAATGTAGAAGTGGCTGAAAGGTTGTCATTTTGAGGCTGGAACTGGTGGACGTGCAACAACTTTAATCATAAGGTAAACAGCAAACAGCAGTCTCCATCTGGAGGTCCTTCATGGGACTCCAGACTTGTAAACCCCTCTTGCATCATGCTTGTGCAGCTGTCATCTCCACCCACACTCATCAGTGCTACCAAGCCGAGCAATCACAGAGCTTGTGCAGCACATACACGTTACATTCTTTGAGAGGTGTGTGTCTGAACACTGATGGCAAGGGGCTATGTGTCTGCATGTATGCTGTGCCAGAGCATATGTGTACGCTTTACGCTGAAGTGTAAATCAGCCTTTAGATGCTGAAGTGTGGAACACATGGACATTACTAGATGCTGGGTTTCATCAATGGTGATGCTTTGCCAGGTCTGTACTGCAATGGTGTTCAGTTCCTGCTTGTTGTTGTGGTGTTTTCCCTCCAGTTTTTTTCCCTTCAAAGTGTTGGGTTGCTTGAGCAGTATGCTTTGGGTCACTGTCTGTCTGCTCTGTGAAGTGCTGTACAATGAGTTCCAAAGCATTTGGCTGAATGTGAGAAGGTAATGTTGGGAAGAAGAGTTCAGAATTGGTCAGCAGTCACATCATGTAACATACAAGAGAAGCAGTTGTACTGGTCATGCCATGACAATAGCATCACCATGCCTAGGATGATGAGCAGTTGCTTTCCTTGTGTATAATGTAGTGTGTTGATCAGTTTGGTAAAAGTTGATGTTGGTGTGATCTGTCCATAGGGTGTTGTTCCACAGTTGTAAAGGCTTTTTTAGCTGAGTAATTCAGCCTTCATTATTGGTAGGCTCAGTAGTGGTTGTGAAAATGTGGTGAACCCTCTGCAGAAGCTGTGGTGTAGTGTTGTCTTGATTGTTGAGCTGCACACATACACCTCCTGGAGAGTGTTTTGAGCAGGGAAGTAATAGTTTGGTTGTCCACTACATTTGTTTTAGTGGTGTTTGAGGTGTTTTGGTGTTGTTTAGGCCCCTGGTGTGTTGTTTGGTTGTTAGAATGATCCAAACTGTTGTTTTGGCCGTTCCTAATGTGTTTGCTCACCGTTTGATGGGTTTGTTTTGTTTCTTGAGCCTAGTGATGGCTTGCTTTAGTGATAGTGACAGCTGTTTGGATTTGTTGTAGAGAGTTGACAGCAAGAGATGGGAAATGCAAATGACAGAGTTGAATGACATGTGCAGCTTTTATCTGCTCAGTGTCACTTGCTATTGATATAGTTAGTGGTTGATAGACAGAAAGGAAGCTATAGACTGGCAACAAAAGGTGTTACTGGGGTGGTAGTATTTGCAAAGATGAATTTTTTGTTTTGTTCCTAACTGGTCCTTGTGGCCTGTGCTGTGTATGAGTAGTAGTAGTAGTAGTAGTAGTAGTAGTAGTAGTAGTAGTAGTAGTGTGGAGCAGGTGTTGTAAGTGTAGTTGGTTATTAGCAGCATGTAAATGGGTGGAGTTTAGGCAAGTAAGGCAGCTGTTGTCAGTTGATTTAGTGTTATGTAAAGAGTGACGTGGCTGTAATGTATTTGGTGTTTGACATTAGTCATTTTCATGGCTTCTGAGAACGCTGAAAGGTCCAGCGATTCAGAAAGAAAGTTTTGATAGCTGATTTAATGTAAAGTGTTGATTAAATTGGCTCAATGTGTTTCTGAAGTAGTTTGAGAAGAAGCTGGAAATAGTGATGGGCCAATGATATGAGCACATGCAAGTGGTTTATACAGTGAAGGGTGATGATATGCGAATTGTGAAATGTGTATATGTGGTGTAGTAGATAGTTGTGAAGTGTGAAAGATATGTGGGAGGTACAGCAGGTGATTGTTTTGAAAATGGCATGTGTAGAATGTGTCGTCCCCCTGTTGTGTTGTTGCAGCAGTAGTATGAGTTTGTGTTAGTGTTGCTGTCTTTGTTTGTGTTTGTCTGACTGATTGCCTGTCTGTGTGGCCACACCCCCTCCCCTTCCTCAGTCATTAGGCCTTTGGCAGGTGTGTTTGTTGTTTATCTGTTGTGACTTTTGTGTTTTGTGCTGTGCCATGCTGTGTAGCTGCAGTGTGGCTGAAGTAGTTTGTTGATGTGTTATTACAGTGTTGTGTTAGTGTTGTGCCATTATGCGGTTGGCTTGATTTGTTTAGAGTTCATTGTGTGCTTGAGGTTGTGTTGGTGTAGTGCAGGCATGTGCAGAGTTGGTCCTGGAGGGCCAGTGTCCTGCAAACTTTAGTTCCAACCCGGATCCGACATAGCTGGCCTAGCTAAGCAAACTGTTAGGCAGTGTAGGAACATCATTGCAGGTGTGTTGGAGGTAAAATGTGTAGGATTCTGGCCCTGGAGGACAGAGTTGGGATCACTCTACTGGTGTAGTGATAGCAGTGCAAGATGCAGCAGTTTGTCAGTAGTTGTGGTTGTGTGGCGACTCAGGTGAAGTGCAAGTGACAGAGGCTACAATGGAGGGGAGCAGTTGACCTGTTGGAGGAAAATGGTGGTGCAAGTGAGAAGGAATACAAACAGTGGCATGGTTGAATCAACTGGAGAGCATTTGATTTGGCAGCATTTTATTGGCAGTCAGGTAGGACTCACAGGTAGCTAGGGGAAGAAGAGATAGTGGTTTAGAAGAGAGCTGTAGTCTTGACGAAGCCACAGGTGAACTGGAGGAGTCCTGCCAGGCAGTGTGGGTGTTGGAAAAGACAAGCAAAGCAGTTGTAAGAGAGAGATGAGAAGAATAAGAAGAGAGCCCCGTACCTCTGCCGTTGTCCTCTGCTCGTTGGAGTCGCGCAGTTAGAGTCGCGCAGAGTCGCGCCTTGTCTTTACCCCGCCGGTCTTCACACCGCAAGGGATGAACACCGCTCGGCTGCCACCGCAGGGCTGCCGCTTTCGCTGCCGCTCCAGCACTAATGCCTCTTAAGTACTGCTCTCCTGATTACGCAGCAGCTGCACGGACGATCCTGACCAATAGGACGGCTCCTTCCCACAATCCTCGCTCGCTTCTCATTGGCCCTGGAACTCAGCTCCTCCCTTCGCACCTGAACACATTTGCCATCAGCTCATTACTGCGTTAGCCTATCACAAAGCAGTTCATGTGATGTCTGACACATTTATGTCATGTGCTTATATCATTACCAATAAAAAGGAATGAAACTGAGTCTCAAATGCTTCTGCCTCACATTTATTACTGCCAAATACACAAACACTTACATGCACAAACAATACAACTGTCCATTCATCTCACGAGCATCCGGCTCCACTCAAAGCCCTCGGTCCCCTCAACACATCTCCATGTCTTCTGGGCTGCCTGGCCATATCCTGAGGACACAAAACATTGACAAATGATCACACACATATTACAACACTTGTTCTCACAACATCACACCACAAAGCTCATCAGAGGATCTAACATCTTCAACAATGCATTTCACTCATAATCCTGACCAACAACATCTTCATTCTTCCTCTACTGCACATCCATCACTACACCTACACCATCAAACCCTCTCCCAACTCCTCAACACTCACCATCAGGCCTAACAGATGAGTCCTCCTCACACCATCAACAATCTGCAGCCTACCATCCAAGCAAACGCTGATCACCTACTACTGCTCGCCCCTAATAGTCCAGAGTAACAAGCTTACTACACTACCTTTGTTACTCACTTACTTACAGCACTAAAATAAACCACTACTTACTCAATACGTGGCTTCACCCTAGCATTTCTGCACTTACACAACAGCTGAACACCACTTCAGCAGACTGGCTTTGAGCCTACATTTACACTCCACATCTGTGCAGCTCCTGCAAAACATCATTTCACACACAAGGCAACACACAACACACCCACTTACATGCCTTTCATGTCACAATTATCATGCCATTCCCTAGACGCAATGCATGGCCTACAGACCAGCTCAACAAACCATTTCCTCCACCTGCATCGCACACTGATCTCACCACCACTCGCCTACAGGACTGCTTCCAAATCCCTCTGGACACTCTGCCAACTTCAGCAACACTCTTGCAGCCATCGCAGCACTAACACATTTTCACATACTTTTCTATCAGATTACATTACTTGTATTGCCAGACATACTTCTTTTACAATCACCTTAAATAAATAACCTTTCAGGTTACATCATGCCATACCTACCATACCTATGCATAAGCCACAGGGAATACGTACTACAAAGAAGGAACACCCTTGATGGTACACTATCTCTTCACCCTTCTTCCAAAACATCTTTACATTACAGCTTGGAAACCTCCAAATCTTTCTTTTTGCATTTCTCCTCTTCCTGACAAACGACAACTGAGCTGTTGCATTACTAACCTCACACATCAAATCCTTCATGCCAACAACCTACAAATGCTGGACAACTGGAAGACAGATCAACATTACAAACACTCAGATTGATGCTGGATTGCCCACAATAACATGCCCCACACCACACTTCCTCCTGTGCTGGACATTCCTTTATATACACGATCACATCACCTCCTCTTCACTTTCAATAGCTACACATTACTCACTTACACCATGCATGACTACTTTAACTGCCGTTTCTCTTCCCTCTTTCTGCGCACATCACACAGTTAGCCTACACATGAGGGCTTCAGCACCTGTTTATCATCACGCTGCATCATCATCTATGTATGCTCACCTCCTCAAATGTACAGCCAAGTGGAAGGTCAAACAAAAATATAGACAACCAACAATTACCTATCACTCTTACAACAGCTCCACTTCATCCTGCATGTCACTGGTGACCTTGTGGACATTAAAAACTACATAAAAACACAACACGGTCCACTTCTGTGTCTCACTTTACACAACTACCAATGATGTAAAATTCTCTCACCTACTTTGCAAACAATACCACTTCACAAGGCATATTGACTGACAAATTCTCTTCTTCACTACAGAGAACTCAGCTTTACACTAAATATACACTACAGTTATTCTACTATTTCAAAACAAGCTGCTTCACTTTTTTTGGGATATATACACAACAAATCAATGACTGACTGACTGACTGACTGACTGACTGACTGACTGACTGACTGACTGACTGACTGACTGACTGACTGACTGACTGACTGACTGACTGACTAACTATAGCTCTCACAGCAACACATCAGCACCTTCTACAAGACACTCTACTACAGTACTGTAAGGTGGCCGATCCCTTCTTACTAACATTAAATACTACTGAACATTTCACATCTGCCTGTTCACCTTTCACATGCACAGACACTGGCTGCATCCAAAACCACATACTTCCACACTATACAGTATACTAAAATCAGTATGTCAGCAGAGTACTATGTCCCAACTCATAACATTCACAAAACAGTATGCAAGAAATGATGACCTGATGATGATGATGATACCACCACATGACTTACTACTTCCCACCAGATTCTGGAGTGCGCATCCCATGCACGCTGCACTATCCCATGATGCCCCGCCGGAGAATTCATCAATGGGAGCAAAGCGACACAAATGACCCAGGTACATCATGTCACTATGTCAAAATGGCAGATGTACTATGTCCAAGTTCCATTCATACTTTTCACACTCATACTTTATAGAACGTACTTTTCCTACAGCCAAGTAGTACTTTTCAAATCAAATGCAGTACCTACTGAGTAGTAGCCCGTTTCGGACGCAGCCTCTTACTCCTTCATATCACCTCACACCACTCACACAAAGCTTTACTTTCTCACAATAACTCACAACAGCTAACTGCTAATTAACTGCACCTCTTCTTACAATTACCAATGACAAACACTTCTTTTTCCTTTCAAAATCCAACCACCCCAACTAAACATACTGTCACATGTGCAAGATCAACAGCCTGCAGAAAAACAACACTATGACCGTGAGCCACCATTATTTCTGTTCAATGCTTTTATCAGCCTATATCTGTAACACGCATTACAGTGACTAGCATTAGCAACCTCACATGACATCATCACAATGTATGTAAACCATTACAACACCACTACAACACTTTACCAAAGCCAACACTACTTTGCCACTGCTGACCTCAGCTACATTTCTGGCCCTCAGGAGCACTGACATCAAACACCACACATCAAATACATCAATCCTTCTCTCTTTCTACAAAACAGGGACCAGCTCATTGACCAAATATCCCCCCCCCTGCTTACCATAATCTTCCACATGGCTTTCACTTAACAGCCCACTTCTCCTCCTGCCTTCTCTATGCAGCATTTCTAAAACTCCACTGTCACTAATCCCCTCCAGTATCAGCCTCTCACAGAACAACACAGCACATTTCCCACATCATCTCATAACGTGTCAAGTCTGATATCTCTGAACACATTCATTCTATGACACACAACAAATCACTGATGTATTCTGATATTCCAATGCATAAAAGCACAACTCTTCATAATAAAGCCAAGCATAACACCAAGGAAGTCCGTATAGTCCCAGTAGTGCACCTTCATCTATTCATCAAAACAACAACACAAAGCTGGACTTTAGAAACCACCAGCACACTTACTGACTTACTATATACTGCATGTCTTAGGCCCTTTATTCTCAGAAGAGGATTAAGTCAAGGATTTTCTCTTATTTCTATCTTTTTTTTTCTACTTTTTACTGCATTTTATTATATTAATAAAACTATATATTTTATTACTTTTCTTCCCTGGAGTGGACATTCCATTCATTTTCCACAAACCTATCAACTGCCTTGTGTGCTCAAAGATGAACTACAATTTATTTCTGCAGTTAAATCTTATATAGATGATCCTGTTTTATCTTTCTTTTTTTTGGGGGGGGGAATAATCAAATAAAGGAATTCCAACACACACACCACATCTTCCTTCTAACCAAGCCCTTGTTTAAACTAACACTTTTTTCTTGCACACAAATTCACTACTTGATCCTTTTTCTCAATATCAAGTACCCACAAATCACACTGTCATCCTTTGCTTGGAACTTCAAACACAACCAATTTCACACTCGCAACCAACAACACATCAACTACATCTGTGGACATCATATTCATCACCCTGGCTATACACTCTTTCATTATCATAACAAAAACAATTTCTCTTCACCAACATGCAAACATCATATCAAACACTGCCTCTTCTCCACAAAGCACAGCCTGCACTCTAAGAAATAAGGGTAGACCAGCTATCACTATGGTGAGACCTTTTCAAAAGCTACACACACATTTCTACCTGACAGGTTTATATTAATAGCTCTGGTCTGGAGAATTAATACAAAACTGTTTCGCTTTCTTTTTTTATGTACTACTATATACTTTTCAGGTACCAATATGTGACAGTCACCCCCCCCCACACACACACACACACATATACACACACATCTTCCACAGATCATTGACTGCTGGCCCCTTGCACAAAGGAGGGGGGGGGGGGGGGGATTGCCATGCCTTTGCCACCTACGCCACTGCTTTAAATAACACCCCTGTGATACCTCACAAACCTCTATTTTCCATACTTCAGATTAATGCCTACTGTACTTCATATGAATGTTTACTTCTATCAAACACTACAATTACTATCTGCACACACTTTTGCTAATATATGCTGCATAATATTCAATTATGCCAAATACAAACCAAGCAAATACACATTAGGGCTGCTCGATTTTGGAAAAAATCATCATCATCATCATCATCATCATCATCATCACGATGATTTCCCGCATAATTTTCATCACGGTTATTCAAAACCATTATCAGTTCAACTATAAATCATTAGCACTCCACACAATTTATTTTTAATACATCTTTTCCTAATGATGCTTAACAGACCAAGGAATTTTAACTCTACTGCCTATAATATTTTTTATTCTTGGCTTATTTGTTTTATTTTAGCTACAACTACAGCAGGTTTAAATATTTTGAAACCCATTTTAAGGTCAATATTATTAGCCCCCTTAAGCTATATATATCTTGGATTGTCTGCAGAAGAAACTACTATTATACAATGACTTGCCTAATTACCCTTATTAAGCCGTTGAATTGCACTTTTATCTGAATGCTTGTATTTTCTAAACCATATAGTCAAATATTCTGTACTGGCATCATAGCAAAGATAAAAGAAATCAGTAATTACTTACTAGTTATTAAAACTATCATCTTTACAAATAACTTTAAAAAAAAAACCTCTTTCCATTAAACAGAAATTGCCCAGGAAAAGGGTTGCTGATACTCAGGGAGGCTAATAATTCTGACTTCAACTGCATATATATAACATTATTTTTCACCCTGCAAAGGAAAGACGAATACATACAATACAATACAAATATCATATTGTCACATATTGTCACCTTACAATTATAAGGTCCTATCGGACATTTTTCTCGAAATTGACTTATTGAAATATTCGTATTAATTCACAACTTACTTACTTACTTACTTACTTACTTACTTCCTTACAATATGGGATGTTTTTATATACCTTTTTTAACATTTGAAGACTTTCTTTCATGACACAAATGTTACACACATACTGTTTGCTATATGGAATGAAAACAATTTACAGGTCAATATCTCAACATCTTTCAGAACACGGATACAACCTTACCATTCTACACTAACAATATATATATATATATATAGAGAGAGAGAGAGAGAGAGAGAGAGACAGAGAGAGAGCTCTGCAAGTATTCAAGAATTTATTGCTCTTTCAAGCATAATGCTTACAATTAAATACTTTCACTTGCATTATTATTACAACGCTTTGTATCTTTCACGTTTACACTTATAAAGAAACCATGTTCAACCAACAAGGTGACAAATGCACAGATTCTCTGGAAACACTGCCGCGAACAGGAAAACTACTTCAACAGCAAAGGTGTAACTAACATAACAGGAACAGATGTATGGAAGGAAGGTCATAAGGGCACTTGCTTTCTGTTTCATGTGCAATTCTTTTGCCTGAATTTCCACATTTCAAGTACAAAGGAAAGACCTTAACTGCTCATGGGTAGGATCCCTAATTTACCTGAGATAGGATTGGTGCTAAAGAAATTACTCAACTGGCCATGAGAAGGGAGCACCTGGGACAGCTGAGATCCTGTTAGTGGAGATGAGAAGCTTAAGGAGTTCTGCTAATGTGTACATTTACGTTGAATGTTACCACAAAGAAGCTGAACACAAAGAACTCATCACACACTCACACCACCTGTCTCTGTAGTTACTGATGCTGAAACAATAAACTGCTTTGCCTAAACACTTCACAGATCTCACACTTTATTCTTTTTTGGACTAATTTTACTTACAAACTTAAACTATATTTTGCAGACCACAATCTGCATTTATCCACAATAACACACCAAACACTCCACTGGCACAATAAGCAAAGCACTCAGGACACCACCAGCAGCGAACTCTACAGAGAAAGCATCACATCATCTCACAACTATTACTTCACAATCCATCTGCACTAAATATCACTCATTCATTACAACAATGACTATATTGATCATTTAATGCTTTCCAACTCAATGGGAAACGCATCTTTCTGCTGCAGTGCCTGTTAACACGCAATGACATATATCAACTGTTCTGCCAATATGTATAAGCTTTGCACAGTTACAGCCTCAGTTGCAGTTTCAGATTGTACCAGCACATTTTTCGGTGCATAAACAAATATTACACACAACTTCATCTACTTTTCATCAGCATCAGTGAGCTGGATCATCTAAATATTACTATTTACAATCCATAAGTTCATGCCTAGTCATTGAGCTTCCTTTAAATTGTTGTTGCCATAGAAACATTCTCACAAGTTAGAATCAGTTAATTGCCTCATTTAAAAAAGAACACCCTACAACAAGACACTTACAATCCACTGTAGAGGCGTTGTCTGTAACTTTATTATCTGTTTGTGTTTATATTCTATCTCACATATTATTGTTATGTATACAGATGACTATAGCTCACTTTATGCACATCTTTTTACATAGTTTCACTCTGTTCAACATACCCAATGTGGGATGGAATAAAGCAGCATTCCTCCACAATCTCACGTGTTGGAAACACCTTCTCTGTCTGTCTACCTTTGGGAAGAGAGACGCCGGAGTGAGGGCAGAATAATCAGCATCTTCTCAATGTAACCTCAGAAAATATTATATCCTATTCCTTCTATGCTGATGAAGGACTACTGAGACATTCCAAACATAGGATAGCTGCTCCTGGTGTGGCACAGTTCCTCACAGCTCCAATACACATCTCTGCCATTTGCTTACAGTAACCATGTGCTCTTCACCATACGCAACTCATCTGCTCGTGATCTTCCTTCAGATAACTGTGTCATGTCTGGAGTCATTTCACAGTTCATGACTTCAGCTTTGTAGTGATGAAATCAACAGAGACATTGATAGATTAATTCCAGTTCAATCTACAATATATTTACTATTGGCCTGAGGAGAGTATGTTAATGTACTTCTCCCCCATTTTATCTCCTCAACTTTGCTCTCATGTTCAGCTGCTTTTGGGGGGTTGCTTTTCACTCATGTTTGACAATGCTTTGCTCAGGGTATAATAGGGAAAGGTAACTGTTGATCTGGGAGAATGGCTTTTACTCTGCATCTCCCGCACACCGGTGCATAGCCTCATATGCTAAAAGGCAGTTTGACTGTCTTTGTTACACAGCACTGCTTCCGTTACAGCTAATTTCTTTATACAGTATGTTAGTTTGTTTCATTGTTTCATTCAACTGTCTGTATATTTAAACATGTAACTTAATAAATATCTTTGCCTGCTTGAAGACGTACACATTCTTTCTCTTTATCAACGATAACAACAACTTTAATGGAGTCACATTAATTACAATGGTGTCAGATAAATAATGGATTTAAACACGCCATCCTTCAACTGCTTTCCGTTTCCGATTATTGGTTCAGAATAGCAGCGTACCCTGCTAAAAAATCCAGCTTAATCCAGCCTAGGCTGGTTGGCTGGTTTTAGCTGGTCGACCAGGCTGGTTTTAGAAGGGTTTTGGCCATTTCCTGGCTGCTTTCCAGCCATTTCCAGCCTGGTCTTAGCTGGTCAGGCTGGAAAATGACCAGCTAAATCCAGCTTAAACCAGCTTGACAAGCCTGGTTTAAGCTGGACATAGCTGGTTTTGGCTGGTCATCTCCCAGCCTAGGCTGGTTTAAGCTGTTTTTTTCAGTAGGGTAAGCTTCAAGCCGTACATCAACATCATCCAAGTCAAATTGGACATTTCCGTTGGTGTACAGTAACTCATTACTTATACTCAAATTACTGTAATTGACTACTTTTTCCTCGGGCACTGTAATTTATTAAGTACTTTTAAAAACGTGTACTTTTACATTCCCTTCAGTACATGTTTAGTGCAGTATCGGTACTTTTACTCCACTACTTCTCTTCATCCTGCAGGCACTACTTTATTTTCTCCTGTTTATGTGGATTACACAAATCAGTCCTGCAATTCCAGTCCAATCAAATAAATCGCATCATATCAAACTACCTCAAGACATGGCCCATTTATAATTGCAGAAAACTGTTCAGAAGCATTAAAAGTGTCCGAGATGCTCAAAATCTTTACACACATGGACCCACATACTGTTTAGATGATGTCACTGATGAGAACATGACGGATGTTTACTGTATGATGACCAAAATGGCCTTAAACACCCAGCAGGCACAGGACATCAACATGACGTCAGATTGATGTTGTACCCTAACGTTGTGGGGAGTTTGCATTTTGTTTGGAAATGAAAATCGGGTCACAACTCAACATCAGGTAGACACCAATGTCCATCATCCAACCTAAAATCACCCAAATATGAATGTCTAATAATCATGTTGCATCTTCACGTTGTGTGGATGTTACCACTATGACGTCAAGCAGATGTTGGATTTTGGTTGCCATACCTGACCAATAAATATCAGTATTTGACATCAATATGATTTTGGTTGAACATGTTGAGTCGACGTTGGATTTTTGTCACTTTTCAACACAACCTAAAATCAACCAAATATTAATGTCATTAGTGGACATCTAAATAATGTTGTGCTTAGACGCTGACAAGACATTGACTTTTGGTCACCTGACATCACACTCTAAATCTAATCTAATATTAATGTCTTATGATGTTGTGTGTCTGCTGGGCAATAACTACATCCAATACAGAATGTTACGTTTACACACACACATGCATGTAAACGCATCAGCTTTTCACAGTGTCATACTCACTACTCACTACTTTCAAAAGGGCTACTTTTTACTCCTACTTTCAGTAATATTTACAGCAGATACTTTGGCTCTACTGCACAACATTATTGCCCAAGTAATGGCACTTTTACTTGGGTATGATTTCTCAATACTGTTTCCACCACTGGACATTTCAAAGGCCAAATACACTCAAGCAACTTTCTGCACGTGCCACACTGCATGTTTGCTCAGGTGACATACACCTTTTGCAGTACAGTGTGCACAAACACTTTTTACACACAATAGATGAAATGCCAGTGTCAACATGGATCATTTGCCTTCAACACTGCCTTTTCAAATTACACTACAGTACTACAAACAGAGCCTAAATAAACCGCACACATTTCTTTTTCTCCTTAACGCTGCCTCCACATCCTCCCTGCTGATATCACTCCACAATTCTCACACACCCATTTACAACTGCACATCTTCAGCATCTGCTCCATTACATAGCACCGAATGCCCCTCACTGCCTCCACTAACCACACATGCTTCACACACCGATTGGAACTGTCCTCTCACCTGCATCAAGTCATGCGACCGCAACAAATACACACGCTGGACGCAACAACGTCCGTCATACACTCCACATGACAATGGCCAAAGTGACTCACACGCAGACACTAAACATTTACAAACCGCACTAAAACAACAACTACTACTTTTCATCATTTTTGACTAAGTACAGCACACACACACTTTTACTCAACCTCACTATTAAAGATGATACACATCAACTGAACAGAGCTGCATACGCTTCTTTAAACTAACATTCAACATACGCTTTCTCAAAATAACACACTCTCTGCACTTATCTGTTTTAGTGAATCTGGATGATTTTGAACTCTACAACAAGCAGCTCAAACAAGTAAAGAAGACCTTGCTAAAAGTGCTTCATCAGCTCTACAAGCATCTCACCCCGGGACTGCTCCAGTAGATTTGCTGCCATTTACGTCTTCTGGGATGTACACATCGCTCTCCCACTGCTTGACCTAATGCATATACAAAAGATACAATAAAACTTCAATTAAACATCCATTGGACTTTTAATATACATTACCTTTCACTCTTCAAACATTCTTATTAAGGCAAACATACAAATACAAAAATACAGTCTTTACAGTGAACCTACAACACAACACATCTACAAATGATGTGTCATTTAACCTGCCTTCTGCATTAATAAACTGATATTTACTATAAAAGATAGGCATAATAACTCAACTGACTGATTTAACAACTATGAATTAATTCACGCACGATCTTAAGTAAATATCACACGCGCAATGGCGACGCCTGCTGGACACACTGCGCAAACGCGGACAATAAAACACTTCCTTCCCAAAATTATTTTACTAGTGTATTAGTCTATTTTTTTTAATTAGATTTACTACATTTATTTAATTTAAGGTAGGCTTCAATTTAAACAAACAATTTATGGTGAAGTTTCTTTTGTTTGTTTCAATTCAGCCCATATCAGTTCTCTTTTTTTAAACCACATACCATAAAAACAAATATGTAAATGCACTGAATACTTTTTTTTTAACTATATATCAACAGTTTTACAACAAATTCTGTAATTAACTATAGTTCATATAGCAAACATTACTTTTTTACTTCTCATTAGTAGTAGACCCACACTATACACAACTTGTGATTTACAAATGTGTTGTGTTTATATCTGCTTGTAAATTGTATTATGGGATGTAAACACTAAATACCTGACAGAAAAATAATATATTATTATATAACATAATAAACTCATATAATACACACATTAATTGAAGAAAAATGAGTAAATATATATTAAATTCTATGTTTTTTCCATGTCATTTTATTTTTACTTACTTCAAATATACTGAATTCTAGCAAACTACAATAAAATCAAATCATCAAAAATACAATAGAATAAAATATATGCAAATACAAGACAATAAGCTAAATACAGTCAATACAAACAAACTATTACATATTAAATGGGTTTTACAGATTTTACAGAAAATGCGCCCTCCTGTGGTGAAATTAGCGAAGTACAGCAAATCAAATACTGTACAGCATTAAACACAAAATAACTGACAGAAAAATAACTTAATCTACAATAATAAATATAACATAATATACACTTACTATTTACAGATCTTTTATTAACATTTGAAAACTTTGCAATAATAAAATGTATAAAACAAATGTCTAATAATACTAAAGTTAATATACTGATTTATTTAGGAACATTTATTACATATGTAATGATTTCTAATTTTTTTTATCTTTACTTCATTTTAAGTTCATTTCAGAAAATGAAAATAGTAGTAAACTAGTAAACTCTAGTAAAAACACAATGACATAAAATAATCAAAAATACAATACAATTACATATATATATATATATATATATATATATATATATATATATATATATATATATATATATATATATATATATATATATATATATATATATATATATATAACAAAAATACAAGACTACAATATTAAATATACAAAGTAAAATATTCTACAAAATTAACACAAAATAACTGACAGAAAAAAATTATACTACAATTAATATAATCTAAATGAAAGGAAAATGATTAAATATACAATGAAATCTAAGAAATTTAAAGAAAATTATATTAAATCAAAAAATAAATACAATACTATGGTATAGACACATTAAGTACAAATTAATTGAATAAAAGATTATTAAATGTCCAATGTATTTTAGTGCATTTACAGGAAATGCGCCCTCCTGTGGCGATATTGACGAATTGCAATCAATTCAATACTGTACAGTAGGGCTGCTCAACCCTGTTCCTGGATATGTGCCTTCCTGTAAAGCTCAACCCTGATCAAACACACCCGAACCAATTCACTAGGACCTGAACAGCACTTGTAATGGCCGGTAGGTGTGTTTCATATGTGTTGCAACTGAAAACTGCAGGACATTGGTAGATCTCCAGGAACAGGGTTGAGCACCCCTGCTGTACAGCATTACAAACAAAATAACAGACAGCATTGTCATTAATATAATATAATATAGTATAATATAAAATAATATTATATAGTACAATATAATATAACATAATAATACAAATTAATTAAAGAAAGATTAATAAATATACAGTACATTCTAGTAAGCTACATTAATTTGAACAAAAAATATTTTGCGAATATTACAAATAAAATACTAAGAAACAGCAAAAATCAATTGATTAAATGCAAATATTAAATATAGTGGCTTATAGTGAATTTGCTGAAAACGCGCCCTCCTGTGGTGAAATTACCGAAATACAGTTAATCAAATACTGTACAGCATTAAATACAAAACAACTGCCAGAAAATAATATAATATAATATAATATAATATAATATATGAAACTAGTGAAATACAAATTATTTTTTTAAACATAGTAGAATCTAGTAAAATAAATTCAACTAAACAAAAATAAATCTTTAAAACAATATTATAAATGAAATACAACACGGCAGAATAAACAAAATAACGAATATAAAATATCAAATATAGAATGTATTTTACTGCGTTTACAGGAAATGCGTCCTCCTGTGGTGGAACTAGCGAAGTACAGCAAATCCAATACTGTACAGCATTAAACACAAAATAACTGACAGAAAAATCATATAATATAATCGCATATTATATAATGTATTTCACTACTTATAATATCATCTAAATGTTTTAATATTATAACTCTAATTAATTAGAAAAAAACAACGATTAAATATTTATCTATAATTTCTAGTTTTGAATTGATTTAGGGAAATTATTTAGCATATAGTAAACTATAGTGAAATACAATGAAATAAAATAATCAAAAATGTAATTATTTATATATATATATATATATATATATATATATATATATATATAGAGAGAGAGAGAGAGAGAGAGAGAGAGAGAGAGAGAGAGAGAGAGAGAGAGATAAAGAGCAAAATAAAAAAGCAAAATTCCAAACATAAATTCAGAATAAAATATTAAATATAAAATTAATTTTTGTGATTTTACAGAAAATTTTATTCAAATAAAGTGCAGCATTAAACAAAACGACTTTAAAGATTTTAATATAATTAATATAATACATATTAAAGGAGATGATTAAACATATAGTGAATTCTAGTGAACTGAAAATAAAATACTCTAAAATAAAGTACAAACAATATTTTAAATTCAATACAACACTATAATATATGCATAAACCAATTCAGTGAATGTTAAATAGACCATTTCCAGAGACGTAAACAATAACAATGGTCCTGGCGTTTTTCCTGTTTTACATTATAAATTTCCCGCTTCTGCCAATCCAAAAAGTTCCACATATTGATAAATATTGTTACGATCGCGATTATAACATCAAAATATGACTGAATTGCCTCTTATTACAGTTATAAAATAAGCAGGATATATTCATGGGCCAGTGACGTCATCACAGTTACAGGAAATGCGCCCTCCTGTGGCCAAATTCCACAATTACAGCTAATTAACGCCAGTTCCACGTGTTTTAAACAATGTTCGACGATTACACTTGATCTCTCGACATCAGACAGATTAAAAAGAGCATTATCTGCTCATAACACTCGTTTATAAGCTGCTGCTTTAAACCATCAACAAAACGACGCAAACCGGAACCGCAGATTCTCTCTATCAGTCACTTTAAAGCAAAGGTAAAAGCTGAGATGCACTCACCTGCTCCATTACAGTATTGCGCATGCGCGACCTGCTGCCGTGTTTGGTCACGTGACTCTATGTTTTACAAAATGAATCTATTTCATTTAAATATGTGATTTTATGTAAATATTCTGTTTATTTTCAGTTCAACTAATTAATCTGTTTGAAACACAACCGTGATCTTCCATCTCCCTGTGTTTGTATATTAATGTTCATCAGTGAGGACATTTTCATTATAGATTCATACCAAGTCATACCTCACATTCAATTCATTTGTATATTATATTATGCCATATCATATTATATAACATTACAATATATTATATAATTTTTCTGTCATTTATTTTGTGTTTAATGCCGTTTTTGATTTGCTGTAAGTTACAGATTTCACCACAGGAGGGCGCATTTCCTCTAAAATCACTCACACAATATTTCATATTTTATTTTGATTTTACTGGATTTTGCTCATTCTGTTGTGTTCTATTTTATTTATAAATACATTTTTCTCTAAAATCACTAATATACAAGGTCACTAAAATCCCTTCTATATTTATTTTTGGTTAATTAATTAGTTGAATAATGCCTATTCTATACTATTGTGTTGTGTTTTATTTAAATATAATTTTAATTTTGTGTTTTCTGTTATATATAACATTAATATTATATAAGCAATTATACAAACTGGAACAAATTTAATTGGATTCACAGGAAATTCAATTTTTAAATAATTCAATATAATATAATACAGACACCTAATATAAGCTGAGGGAAAATTAATGAATAACATCATATAATCCATTTGAATGAAAAGTATTAAATATTTAGTGGATTCCAGTCATCTAAACTAAACAATAAAAAATGAAAATATATTTATGAATAAAATACAGTAAAATGATATAAGCAAAATTCACTAATCAAAATAAAATATTAAATATTGAGTGAATTTTTGTAAATTTCTATTTTGGTGATTTTAGAAAAAAAATTACAGAAAATAAAATATTGTACAACATTAAACTACATATCTGACTGAAAAATATAATATAATATATAATATTATATAATAATACTAATTAACTGAATAATTCATATGAATTAATTAATAATTATTGGATTACAATTAAAATTATTATATTACAACATATTATACAATAATATAATATGATACAATACATATAATACAAATTAATCGAATTAATATTATTAAATATATAGTGAATTCTAGTAAATTAAGCTAAAATAGAATCAAACATAAAATAAAAACAAAGACAATAGAACATTCATTCATTTTCTTGTCGGCTTAGTCCCTTTATTAATCCG